TCATCATTTGTTTGAAATTTTAAATCTACTTTTTTAACCCAGGTTCGACATTGGGCTATTGCTGTACATAGCTTTTTGATATAAACACATTGCTTGCAAGGCTGATCACATTCAGAGTGTAGGGCTATTGCTGCTGAGGCAACCAAATGTCTGAAGGAAGAAACTGTGTTATTCAGTGTTTCTGTAACTTCTGAAGTGTTGGGCACCCTCAGTGGAATTGTGTTATTGGATTTTATTATTTTATGCTTTTTGTATTTTTTGTTAAATCACTAACATCATATTCTCACCTGCTACTATCATCACTGAAAATGAAAAATCTGAATCATATTGAATTATTTTTTCTGTGCACATAATTTGTACAATACTGTATGTTATTTTCATTAATTATTGCCAGGGTTGAACATAAATATAAAATTTTCCATTGTAAATATAATTGGTGATATGTTTGTGCATGTTGCTTAATTCTGTCTGGCTTCCTGAAACATCAGCAGCTGTTGTTAGTTGGTGGTTTAGTTGCACTATATAAAGATGTTTAAAATTATTGACATTGGAGAACATATGTTCTGAACGCCTTTTTGATTTTTAAGACTGGGTATATGAGACTGTTGTGAAACTTTAAAACCATGATTCTTACAGCCAATGAAGACAGTAAGATCATAGCATCATTCCTGTACTAAATTTATTAATATACACTTTTGTTCTTCAAATCTATTTTAATTACTATTTCAAGTATCTGAAATACTTGTGAAAGGAATTAGCTGATGTTTTGACAAAAGATGAAAAATGATGTCTCCTTCAGTGGTCAGGTGTGCTGATATAGAATAAAACTGAAAATTCGAAGCACTCTGTTTCCATCAGCAGACACTGATGTGAAAGTATACAGATTGGCAGGTATGTATTTTGTATTTTTCATCACATCAGTCCATGAAGCTGGATACAGAGACAGAAAACATAACTCCATTTAGTCATCATAAGAATTAAGATTGTTGTGAAGTGTAAAGGATATGAGACAGAATACAAAACACATAGCACGTAGCTGAAGTGCACATGTAGAAAATCCACTCAGTAGTATTCTCTTTGGGACTTCATTCTTGTAAATTCTCTGCCCCTTCTTATATAATTGAAACTAATTATGCCTAACAGTTTTGCCATCTTAAAATGATTACAATTGCTTTTGGAATGAATCTACCATATTAAATGGACCAAACTTGTTTATAGCTACTGGAATGTTGGCATTGTCTTTGGTTTAATGGTGTCATCACTAATTAATCTGAACCAGCAGCACTTTGTTATGGTAACTAACACTTAAACTTGACAAGCGTCCTTGAGGACTGAGAGCCACTGGTGTGTAATGTGTGTACAGGGCTCAGAAAGTGGCTCGTGCAGTTGGAGCGACTCGGATTCAGACTCAGGCAGCAGCTCCTGCTCATCAGGCAGCGCTTGCTCAAGCGGTCGATCCTCACATACCCACCAAACCTTTTCCATCAGGGAGACTAATTTCGATCAGGTTTGTAATATAAGCAGCAGCAGCAGCTTCTTCAGCTACCTCTTTCTATGTTTTCCTCCTGTGCTGCAGTATGGTTCGTGGAGCATGTTAGTAGTCCAAGGTTACAGGTTCAAACACTACCCAATGCATGAATGATTGCATGTGCTCTTATCACTAACATCTTATCAGTCCTCAGCAAAATGTAAACTTGAGAGCCGTATTTATACAAATATTATGCACAATTTTTTCCCTCCAGATGCCTCCAGAAAAACTGACTTCATGGTATGATTCAGACATGTTCACTTTTATTAGGCTGTCATGTGGAAATATGTGCAGACAATATTTTGGGAGGTATTTGGAGAGGATGGGGCAGTTTGTTTGGGCATTTATTGTAAAAGCTGCAGAAATGTTATGAATAGTTAAGCCATTCTAAATGTTCTTGAAGTATGCATGTTCCGTATGTGTGGTAGAATATTTTGAGCATTTATGTCCACTTTGACATTTCTCCTTTAGTGCCTTATTAACAAGTAGATGGAACCACAAAGTTTCATGAATCATATTTGAATTAATTCTGAATGGTAGCAAGTACAAAATAGATATTCTGTGTAGTATGCCAGCTGTGAAAGTATTTTTTAACTTTTTCTCTGCTTACATGACACCCTGTCTTACCACTGTTTAGAGTCAGGCTTATGCATTTGAGCGTTGAGATCTGTAGTGAAAGGTTTGAGCACTGAAACTGAAATTAAGTATCTTAATACTAGGGACTAACATAACAAAAGTGAAGATGTGCATTCCTGTTTTGGATTATATATAATTTTTAGATGCATTCTTTCATTTTTGTTTATGGAGAATGAACGTATATTGTTGCAAACCTGTCACAGTCCATATAACACTTTGTAAAGTCATAAATAATAATCACTTGTATTTTGTTAAATGTATGCTGCATCTAAATGAGCTGGGGGTAGCTCAGTCAGTATAGTGGCTGACTAGGGACTGGACGACCGGGGTTCGATCTCCAAAGGGACCAGTGAATTTTTCCTCTAGCCTCTTTGTTCATACTGGCTCTGGGGCCCACCCAGCCTCCAATGTATTGGGCACCGGGGTCCTTTCCCGGGGGGCAAAGCGTGGCCTGGGCGTGACGCTGACCACTCGCCCCCATCTAGTGCAGAGGTTAAGAATGAGTAGGAGCTATACCTTCCCTCCCCCCAAGCGCCTACATGGTGTGTAGTGGGACAGCTTTACTTTACTCTGTATACTGCATCTAAAGAGTTCTAGATCCAAAGGAGATTTGTATTTTGTGTTACATACAATTTTTTCTGTGATCTTAAAACCTTACATACCATGCAGTGTATTGGAATATAAAATCATGAATACAAACAAAACTGTTCTTTCAAGTGTAAACAGTTTTGTTTATATGCATGATTTTATATTTTTCTATGGTAGTGATTTTTGAGAAAATAATAGTTTATTGATTACACTGAACTCAAATTAAATTTACTCTAAATCTCATGTAAGTCCCTACTCTGCAGTATGTCAGCACTGGCCAATTGGATAATGAAACATATCTGAAAGTTCTCTTTGCCGTTACCACACTTTGTGAAATATTGCTAAATGTGTAGAAATAAATCTTAATTGCAAATGCTGCAACAAACTGAAAACCACTGGTTCTGTACATCCGGAAACTTAGCACTGTTGCGGGCAGTTGTAACATTTACTAATCTTGAGGGAGGCCAAGTTGTTGCCATTATGTCATTGTTTGGTAATCCCAGTTAATCCTACATTGGTTTTCATTTGAAATGTTACTGATTATTTCAGTGTTTCCTGATCCATAGGCAGGCCATATTGTTTCCTGATTCACAGAGATGCAACTTATTTCTGATTGTTGTACTGTGATCCCAAGGAAGGCTACATTATTTCTGATTGTTGCATTGTTTACTGATCTACAGGGAGGTCTCAAACTTAAGATTGCTGCTCTCAAAGTTACAAAGAAAACAGCTACTAAAGATACTGAGGTGAGGAAAATTGCTACAAGTGGGGCTAAAGTAAATGGCAAGGAGAAACCAACTCAGGTTCAGGCTGTCACGAGACTAGGTGCCAAAACTAGCAGCAGCAAGAAATTGGAGGGCCGGAAGAAACTGGTGGAAACCCGGGATTGCAGCAGAGTCCATGGAGTTGGGCGCACACCACACAGGGATAAGGTACTGTGCCTGCATGTTTTGTAGTTAAATGAAGAATTGTTGGCAGGTGAGGTCTATTAACGTGTTTAGTCAGGGGCAGTCATCGTAACTGGTCTGACAAGGGAAAGGTACGGTTGGTCATGTCAAAACCTCTCCTGAAATTTTGCTCGTCTAGAGAGCCCATCTAGTAATGATTATAAACAAAATTTCAGCTGCTGATACACTCCAAGGGTGTGAACAAATTGCTGAAAATTCTAATGTGTATTTAAAATTTGTGCCATCGCGCATGCGTCTGATGGCAGTGCGCCTAGCAATGACATGGTATTCACCGGTACATTGCAATGGAGAGCATGGGCCAGGCACTGAAAAGGCAGTGAAAGACACACACACACACACGTAATTTAAAGGTGCGTACATATTAGCCTTCTATCTATTACACACACACACACACATAGTTTAATGGTGCGTACATATTAGCCTTCTATCTATATAATATGCTGCTTTGTGGAGACGTTGCACTGAAACAAAAGACTGTTCACTCATCCATGGCCTACTGTGTACATGTACTAATGTACAACGCAGAAAAATAGATGTTTAACTACATTAAATCGTACTATATTCTTTAATTAAGCAGATAGATGATTTTAATTTTTATATGCTGCTTTGTTAGACTTTTCAATAAAAATCCATTTTAAGCTCTACTTAAATTTTCCCATCATTTTTGTTGCACATATTCAATTTACACTACGAACATCGAATTAAAGGTTTATTTGCACATTTCCGTATTTCGCATTTGGCTTGTTCTGCGCAGACAGAAGCTTCTAGCGCCTCGGAGACTAGTCTTTCGCTACCTTCTCAGTGCCTAGCTTATGTTCTCCGTTACAATGCACCGGTGAATACCGTGCCACTGCTAGGCACACTACTGTCAGACGTGTGAGCGATGGCCCAAATTTTAAATGTACATTCGAATTTTGAGAAATTTTTTTGCACCCTTGCACAGCGTATCAGCAGCTGAAATTTTGTGTACCATCATTACTAGATGGGCTCTCTATTTCAGGTGAGGTTTTGACATGACCAACCGGACCATTCCCTTGTGAGTATGACTTTGGGTGCACATTTCTGTTATGGCACAGGGTTTAACATTGGTTTTTGTTGTCTGTGTCTGTAGTTGGCTTTAGAAAACTCCAATATCAACACCCTACAAATCAAAGTTATATTTGTGAGGAAATAAGAGCTAAATGATTTTGGGAAGTAGCTCAGTCAGTGGGGTCCGCAGTGGCCGCGCGGTCTAAGCCGTGGGCCTTGTGATGCTTGGTCGCTGGGGCTGTGGGTTTGAATTCCACTCAAGCCATGGATGTTTGTCTGCGTTTTTCTGTATTGTGCTGTCCTGTGTACAGGTAGAGGCCTTGTGACGAGCCAATCCCTCGTCCAAGGAGTCCTAGATAGATCGAGCCAACGAAAAGTTGGGACCCGCAGTGCTGAGGCACTTGAAGAATGGGTCGTTCTCAGTATCCAGTACCGAATCAGTCAGTATACTGACTGGCTACAGACTGGACGACCGGGGTTCGATCCCTGACGGGCAGAGGATTTTTCCTCTAGCTTCTGTGTCCAGATACCGGGCCTCTCTCCCGGGGGTAAAGCATGGCTGGGGCATGATGCTGACCACTCACCCCATGGAGTGCTAAGGTCAAGAATGAGTAGGAGCTATACAACCTTTCCCCCCAGGCGCTTGCATGGTGCATAGTGGGACAGCTTTACTTTTACTATACTTACTACATTCATTTCAACATCTTTTTGTCTTCCTGTGCCCTTTTTAATTATACAAAGTTTTAAATATAAGAACTCTAATTTTGCTTGTTATTTGATATGAGTGTAAAGCATTTCTCTGAATGTGAGAGAACAATATTGATTGATGTTATTAGAGAATGAAGTACTGAGGAGAATATTTGCACCAGTGGAAGAGGATGGAGAAAATTACATGAGGATCTTTATAATTTGTATTCTTTATCTAATATTGCAAGGATTATTGAACCAAGGGCGTATGAGATGGACTGGACATGCAACATGAATGGGGAACAGAAATAAAATTTTTTCACATGAATACCAGGCTTAGGTGGAAGGACAATATTGAAATGAATTTTAGGGAAATTAGGTGTCAGTTGAAGATTTCTGTCTCCTGGGTTGTTGCGCTGTGTAGTTTAGACCAGTAGTATTCAACCTTTTTTGTTCGCGTACCCCCAGATATAATTTCTCTTCAACTTTGTACCCCCAAAGTTGTTGGTGTATAATTCAAGTTATACATAGTATATAATCTACATCTAAAATAAATTAAATAAATTACATCGAAAATAATGTATTAAATAATAAGTTTTAAATGAGAAAAAAGAGAATCAAGCTATTAGTAACAAATATTTTATTGCCTGTCATATAAAAATTAATAAAGGAAAAAAGGTATTTTATTAAAGCAAAATTGTATGTTTAAACATTTCATCAATTATTGATTAATGCGGTTCAGACCTGTTAATGGGCTTGTTTCTGACACGCCAGCACCTCAATTCGGGGAAGAATCTTCGTGAGTGTGAGGATCAGAGATGGTTCTGTGTTCAAGCGGTTTCTGCGTTTCATTTTGATTGACGTTGATCCCGCCCTATAGTGTTCAGTCAGGTTTCAAAGCACTATGTGGAATGAAATGAAACTAGCTGCCCAGATAAGAATCGCATAAAGGAGAGAGAGAGAGAGAAATGGCGTTCCTAAATCGAGTGTCCTTACGTCCGGTTCTCCTGTGGCTAACCCTAAATCTAAATCTAAATATTCAGTGTTTGTCATAAAATAATATTTTTTGTTTAAATTTCACGTACCCCCTAAGATGTCTTTGCGTACCCAGAAGACAGAAATCTTCATACTCACCGCTGTGAAAACCTCAAATCTTACATAGGTGTCAGTTGATGGAGTAGATTGAGCTGACTCAGGATATTGTGCACTGGGAGGCCTTCGTAAACAAAGTAATGAACCTTCAGATTCTTTAAGAGCAGGGAATTTTTTGATGAGCTGAGCAACTATCAGACCTTCTGATAATACTGTGCATCATGTAGTTTGTTACCAGTAAAGGATAATTAGGCAATGTGAAGAATCTGACTGTAATATTGATAGTTCAAGGTTCTTATATAATAGAATGATAATTAACAAAGTTGGTGATCTTGAAACTGCATGCACGTCTCTTGTATTATGAAAATGTAATGACCAAAATACATTCAGATTCTAGAGAATGTAAAACTTAAAGAAGCAATTTTAGGGTATGTTCAGAATTGTGAAGACAGCAGTGATAAAGATATCAGATGTAAACAGTATGATGATAGAGGCAGCAGTCTCCTCTGAAATGTTGGTCAGTGTCTGCTGGACAACGTGGTACGTCATCCCAGAATACAGCAATATGGCTGTTATGTTTCATAGAATGTACCAAGTAAGAATTGCGTGGTGTGGCGTTGCGTTCTTTTATTTCGTTTATACCTGTTGTGTGAGAAGGCAGGAAGTGAGCACTGAACAGGATGTTTGGTGCCTCCATTGCTGAAGCAGGAATACGAGAAGCGGGTAGGTTTAGTTGAAAACCATGGATGTTGGTTTCACATTTAAAAACCAGGAAAGAAAGGGTTACAACCTTTTCTTGTTTTTAGGGTTGTTCTGGTAGAAGTTCTTGCTTCCTACATCATCAGCCTCAGTAAACAGTTTTTGCAGTCTAAAATGGGAATGTTTAGTTATGCTGTTTGGCCTTTTTTTTTTAAATGAACAGATAAAATTTTCACAAAACTCCCCAGAGTATCTCTGTCATCAGGTGTGGTACGCATGTACATTAAGATTTCTGTACGGTGGTCTAGCGTTTAGAACGCTGGCCTTGTAATCCTGGTGTCTCGGGTTCGATTCCTGGTGGTGCCCGAATTTATAACTTGTGTTGGGCAAGGCCGTGGTCTAGGCAACACGGAGTTTTCCTCCGTGGCATCTCAACAATTACTCCATTCACACACAGAAGAAGGCAATGGCAAACCACTTCTGGATCATCTGCCAAGAACGTATATGAACAGGTCCCAGTCCGAGAAAAGGATGGAAGGATCCCGTTCATATGGACCTGTCGTCAGACAGAACACTAAAATAAAAATAAAAATAACCATATTAGTCTTGACGTTCATTTACAGACGGAAAAATCTCCTGCTTCACTGCAAATTGAACTGTACCGAGACACAGACTCATCAGTTGAAACTTTTCTTTGTGGTGAATATTTATGAAAATTCAGGGATTAATAATTGTTGACCATGCAGTGCTGTAAGTTGCGTAGGAAAGTGGAGGGTTTAGGTGAATGGCCAGATTTGTGCTTCAGTCATTTTAGCACTGGTATCTGGTGGATAAGAAGCTGGATGGACTTCAGAGTCTGTCTGGATGTGGTAGTGGAGGGTTCACGTGCTTGTGTGGTTTTTGTCTATTTTCATCATACTCTGATCTTCCGACCTTGATTTTGTCCCCCTTCTGAATTTCTGAGAAAACTTTCTTTCACCTTTATAAGGATTTCTATCATATTATAAGTAATTTTATTGATGGAGACTGTCTTGTGTCTTCATCCCAGAAGACTATCATCTTCATACTTGACACAGTGAGAACCTGAAGTCTTATAAAATTTTACGTAATGCGCTTGAATGAGTGATCACTGAATTTTATGCTGAATCCATCACAGAACTAAGGTACAAGAATCACATTTAAAATAACATTATTTATAGCAGCAGTAATAATAGTAATAATTCAAGGAAAAAACAAGACGTTTAAATAATCATTTTAATTGTTGAAAGTAACCACTGCCTTTTTACTGCCAGAATCCACGTCGATTTCAAGGAAAGAGAAGTTATTATTGGTTAAACAGTAATCGTTTGCTCACCCCCTGTTATGCAACCTCTCAAGTGGGGTGCAAGCCCCTCGGGTTATGAACCATGCCTGTCGTGTGGTCAGCTTTGCAACAATAGACATGCATCTGCAGCAAA